TATATTTTAAAACAGAAGTTGCAGCTGTTAGTAAAATGAAGTGCTTAGAACTGAACGGAAATGAACTGCAAATTTTTATGTAAATTTGTATTCTTACGTACATTCGCATTGTATTTGATATCCAGTAGTAGAACTGCGCGAGAAATTTTTTCATCGTGAAACATAACGAAAATATTCGCACGACATGCGTGCATCTCAACCAGAACAGGACCTTCCACTCACACTCATACGTATACAAATGCCGAGGAACACATAACGAAATAAGGCAATATCAAACGCAGCACGCATTTCTGCACGAATACGCAAATATCCTACGGTCCACTTATTCCAAGCGAATAAATCCATCGGAATTGCCCCCTCTTTCTCACCATCGACTCGATCGTGTTACATTTCGTGGATCGCGTGGGACACTCGAATCCAGGGCCGGCGATCTGTGCCGCATGAAACGGGATCGATCTGCATGAAACAATTATTAGCACGAAACTCTCGCCAGAAATGGAATATCCGTGATGTCTATCGACGGCGAGAGCCGAACTACTATGTTAGGGCACGTCGCCACGGCGAGAAACAGCCCGCGAATCACGCGTTATCTTTGCGAACAAATGCGACCAATTATCCCGTGGCGCGCTCGCGTCGTGTGTAATTTCCAGCGATAAGAAAATGTTGCGATTACGCAACAACGAGTGGAATAAACAGAGATAAAGTACGGTCGGTGGAGAAAGGATCGAGCCGGCGAGGGCGAAAGAAGCGGGAAAGAAAGGAGGGTGTTGGACAGAGAGGAGGTGGAGGAAACACAACGCACACGATCCTTCTACTACTGGTGGTAAGTTGCTGGTAGGTCTTGTGCCACGGCGGACAGCAGATACGCCATGCGATAGTCGCAGTGTATAAACGATTTATCATGCTTTTCCCTACTTTGTTCAAACTGCGTTCAAACACGCGCTCTTTCGTTTCACGTGCTCGAACGGGCGTTCGTTGTTGGATCCAGGAGGAGACACCGTTTGAGATCGCAAATGACTCGGTGATAATGGAGAGAGAAGTGCTAACAAAAACCCTCTCCTTCTCGGTTTGATCTCCTGTGATCGAGACCGAGCTGTGCAAGTCCATTTCTTTTTTTTTTTTTTTTTTTTTTTCTTAATCGCGATTTTGATGCGATTTTGATGCGTCTGATTTTATTTTCTTAGTGTGTCAGTCTTCGTGACGAGTAGTTGAGAATATATAGTAATCAACAGATGAAAGATGAGTCATTCAGTCAGTTTTATATTTTTGTTGAACATTTTTATTGACGAATCGACGTAGGCAACAACATTTTCATTGAAGGATCCCTTATTTTTTTCCGTATGTTATTTTTATTAAAAAAAAATTAATTGTATCATATTACGTGATTGCAGAAATTTTTCCATCGAGAGTTGGAACACACAAATTGAAACAAAATTCAATAATAAAGTTCAATATGGTATAATATAAGTAAGCACATGAGCATATACATATTTAATGTAATTTAATTTCAATAACGTAAATTTACGAAGAAAATCAACATCGCGCGTCAAGCACAAATATATATATACGTCGGACTCTTACAACGTGCAGTTTACTCGTCGAGACAGCAATTGATATATTCCGATCACGCATTTTGCAATTTAGGCTCCGATTAATTACAATCGTGTACTTGCCCGAAATTAACGAAACGCCGGCTAATTTAAACGGTCCTGCTTCACTGTTTTCACATCGGTGACACGTCCTCATAGCGATCAGGCTTTCAATTTTAGCTTCGATAAACAACAATTTCGATTTCACATTTCATGAACGTGCCCCCTGATCCGTTAATAACGAAATATCGCCTGGCCGAATTCGACGCTGAATTTTAACGCAGTTTTCAAGCGAAATTTGATTTTTCACACGGGTCTCTCGTGTTCTCGCGAAAATTCATCGCGCCGCGCTTCTCCATCGATCGCTGCTAATCGATCGTTCATCGGAAACGCGACTTACGGCTTGGTTAATCGAGGCTCGTTTATTCGAGACAGGAAACTAGGCCGATTTTTCTGATCGATTTATTTAATGGTATCTTATGATTAAACTAAACGAACGAATGCTCGTTCGCCTCCGCCTCTCTCACCGCTCTATTTCGATCAAATTCATATCGTAGTGTTCAATGAAGTACGAGCATTAGTGTAATAAATGAGCATGAATTGGGGGCGAACAAATATTCTAAATGCGCTATTACAATTTACGATTAATTATATACGACCCATCCTAATATAATTATATATATTCAATTAGACATTTTGCATTTGGCACGTGTTAATTTAATATCACTGTCGTCTATTTGCGATCGTATTAATTATTGCAACAGGTTATTAGCGGATAAAGAATTTTTATATACTCGTGGCAAATTTGAAGTGTAGTATGCAGGAGATTGAATATATAATATTCTACAGGCGTTTAGAATCTATTTCTTTTTTTTTAAATTAATCAAGTTTAATTAAATTTAAAAAAATAGTAGGCCACGAACTTAAAAATATTAATTAATTCAGAAAAATCGAATCTCGATAGAAAATTGCTTTATCTACTAAATATTATAGAAAGCTTCACAGTTTGGATATTTAATGAATATTATCATTATCATACGCAAGCGTGTGCAAATTTGTACTTTTAATTCTAGTTTAATTCATGTTTAGATTTTTCTTTTTCTTCTTTTGCAAACGATTTATCTCATTTGCCAGTTTCGTTGATCCATTAATACGAGAATGAATATCCCTCAATATTTGTGCTGAAAAGGAAGAGATTCAGAGTGCTAGATTCTTATTTGCTTATTATCTAGGATCTTATTAAGAAAATTGCGCTTATTAAGGGAAAATATCGGGGAACGATCGAGTCCATGAATTACTCGACGGAGTGAATGAAAAGTTTGAAAGACGCTCTCCGAGATCGTTCAATTCTTTCCTTTGGATCGAATTTTTCCTTTTTCCTTCTACTTTTATCCTTTTTTGACTCGTGAAAATTCCTGCGTTTGTAAACAATCCCATGTGTAATCAAACGTTCAAAAGAAAATCTCCATGCCATGTGTTCCTCGTACAGATGAAATTGAAACTGAAACAACAACGTTAATGATAAAACAATTAGTAACAGAATAGTTTCACAAATGATGGAAACTATTTTGAAGAAGTATTTCAAGAAATTTCGTACGACTTCTATATTCTTCGTCAAGTGTAAAAACAATTTGTATAAAAATTACATTATATAAAATTAATTGTATTTTATTATATTAAATCAATATTATATTTAATTACACTATATAAAAATTATATTTAACTTTTATATAATTTTGTATAGAATATAACTTAGAAAATTTTATTTCTTTAACAATTAATTTTTTTTCATCGCAAAAAATGTAAAACACAATTAATCGAATTAAACATCTAAAACTTTTGTAGCTCAACATAAATTACACAATGTATAACCCGATGATACTGCTCGGAAATTAAAACTCCCTTTCCAAGACAAGGCAAATTAATTTCAGCTTCTTCAAACAGGAAGAAGCACATTTAATCGGGCCTGGATTCATTCGTGGACTTCATTTTCCCGCGGGATAGCGATTTAATTCAAGAAACAATAGCGGAGACGAGTGAAATAACGGAGCGGCAAGTTGCTCATTTTTAATCCAAAGTTGAACCATTCGTTAACAGGCAATTTGAAAGTTAATTCGAAATCGGGCCGCCTTCGAAATGCTGCTGCCGCCATTTTCTCGTTAAAACTTCACCGAACGGCCGCACGAAAATTGACCGTCGTGTCGTCGTAACGTCGATATCGACGATGCGATACAAGGTAAACGGCTTTGCCAGCGCATCATGTACCGATGCGCGGTGCAATAAATGTCGACATGTATTATTAGGCGAAGAGAGCTCTACCATGAATTTTTCACGACAGTCTCTGAACGCAACAAACGATCGCGACTGGACGTCGTCCGGAATAAAAGATACAAAAATCTGAAAATCGCTGGTAAACTGTGATTGGTCTTGTTATTCGAAAATTTTATTCGCGTGACATGCGTGAGAGGAAACGTCGATGGAGGCTTTTGTGTCATGTGCACGTTTGAAATTAAAGAGATCGCACGTGTCCATGAACACGTCACAGGAATTATGACCTAATTTAATGTTAATCAAAGATTTCTATAGTTTGTTCTTAACTTGTAGTACAACTCCATTCATTTGACACAAATTTCAGTCAGTAGCTGGTTAAAGAAACTCTTAGTGATTGAATCCGCTTATTTGAATCTGAACTGAACACACACCTGAAATAACTTTTAAATTATGCGTCTAATGAAACACTGTTTCATACAAAAGTTGTATGGTTTTAAAACTAAGGCAAAATATGGCGTGTCAATTTTTTGGGCGTGTTCATTTTTATTCCTTTTAATTCATCATAAATCATAAAAAAGAGTACAAAGTACAAGTCATAATCGAGACAAATTATCGTAAAATGTTTCCTTAACCATTATGTTTAAAACCAACGTGGCTACTTTTTTTTACTTGGAATTTAATAACCCTTTCCATTTATGATATATGGTCCAATTAAGAAAAAAATTAAAGATGCCTCCCGGAAATTTTAAAATCCACAGAAAATTGACACTTTGCTTCCCTTAAGACCATACAACTTTTGTATTAAACAATTTTTCATTGGACACGTAATTCAAAAGTTATTCCAAACGTGCAAATTACGCGACTCGCCCTGTATAAACGAACTCCAATTATATTATAGCTATTTGTCCCACGACAAATTTCTGCTGTCTACTTAGTTGAGAAATTCTTTTCTTCACTAAACTTCATTTAAAAGCCTGAAGTTTTACACTTGCTTCAATAAGTACACTCTACACAAGCGCTCGCGTTACACAGATTCTCGTCAACGCCAGCCCCCCGAGCGAAGTGAAACGATTATCCCCATTAGCCGTCTCAGCATCTCTCAAAATCTAATCCAATCTAACGGGACCTATTCCTTTCAAGGAAAAAGTGCGACGAAACAACCAAACACGGACAGTTGGGTGAGCCGGGGCCGAGTGAGAAGGAAACGACAGGGCGAGGTGGAAAATTCGAAAGTCTCGGCGGGAGTGCTGACGCGACAGGAGGACGCGAAGGAGGACGCGAAGCGGCGCGGGGGACCATGATCCTCGTTCCTTTTCATCATCCCGGGGAGCTTTGGTGTCGTTCCTTTTCGACAAAGGGCAGGTAATTTTTCATTGCTACTGGCGACGTCGCGGTATGTGCGGTATTACGTGCGAGAGAAGTCTGCCGGAGACAGAGAGACGAACAGAAAAAGAGAGAAAGGCGGGGGGGGGGGGAGAGGGTTGCCAGCCTGATATTAAAGACATCCCTTGCTGACAAACGAACGCGACCGTTTCTCTCCTGCAATTACGACAAAGCCACTTACTAATCTCGCTGTCTGATAATCCATTATCCCCGGCTACCTACGTACTAATCCTAGATTCCGACTTTTAGTAACGGTAACCCTTACAACAAATCCTTCCATCGAGTTCCCTCCGTTTCTCGCGAGCGCCAGCGCGTTTTGCCGCTCCCGGCTTCGTTTCTACGCGACACGTGTATGTTACGATTAACGTGCGTGCACGTAACAGGTTGAGTCAAATTGAAATTGATGGCATATACCTCTTTGACGTTTCGCTGTTTAATGTCGCGTGTCGGTGAAAGAATTAACTGGGACAGAGGGGTTTTGATGTGTAAGTTTAAGAGAAATTTAAGAAAGGTTTATTAATCGATCTTTGGTGTGTAGAATAGCATTCTCTCAACGATACTATTTGCTTAATTTGATGAGTACTCACGTCAAATTGGTTTTAAATTTCATTTAATTTGTCTAGTAAAATTTTATGTCTGGCAATTCCTACGACGAAAAAAGTAATATTTAAAATAGTCTGAATTTTTAAAATGCAGTGAATTTTTTTTTTGACTGTTAACTGTTCAAACTATCAAACGGTTGAAACACGTGAAAAGTGTTAAACGTATAATAATAAATTTTGTAACCGAATAGAGAAATTGAATGGACTCAACAATCGAATCGGATTTGTTAATTTAAAATATTAGTGAAATACTGTTCTCCGAAAGTGTAAAGATATCGGGACGCAGTAAACAAATGGTTCTCCGGTTAATTTGAAACGAAGGTGAACAAAAACAAATTGCAATTAATGTATTATTTCTTTTTTCGTGTAATCTCATCTTTCTCGCCGGCTTATTACCAACGGTGAAGTTTATATAATGAAGTGCTCGTAAAGTCGCCAGTTGGTGATAAACAACCTAACGCAACGACAAACAACTACGTTCGAATTAAATCTTCAGTACACTCTTGTCAGGGTAAATACTGGTTCTCATTTGCTTAGTTCTTTCGAAAATAAACCGAAGGATTAAAGAAAGAATATAAACGAGAAATGAGAAATTATTTGTCGCATAGATGAGCTGTAGGAGTATTAAGGCGAAGAATAACTAAGTGACACTAAGTGTCACACTCTAAATTGAAAACTATTTAGAATTCTCTGTTATTTAACACTAGAAAAGAAATTTTTCTGAAATACCCAGTAAGAATAGTTGGTATAAAAATTTAAAAAAAAAGCAAATTTTCTACTGAAAGAGAAAGTAAAATAAATAGATCATGTTCTTCAATTCTTGGATCCTTAGATTCTTGGATTTTTGGGGTTCTTAAGTTCTTGGATTCTTGGATTCTTTAAATTCTTGGATTTTTAGATTATTGGATTCTTGGATCCTTGAACTCTTGGACTCTTGAACTCTTAAGTTAATTAAAGAGCACGTGAGCACAATGTAATGACGTCTCTTCAAATTTTCCAAAAAAGTTCTTTTCTAAGAAAGTAATTCTTCCTTAAAGAAAAAAAAAAAAAAAAAGAAAATTTCCCTAAAGATGAACAAGTTACACTCTAAAATTAAAGGCAGAATTGCCATAGCAATTTTAAAATACATTTCATCCTTCATGTAAACAGTTTACATCGTTGAATTTCTATTATCAATTTTTGGTAGCTCCTGTAGGATCGTATGGTTGCTCGTTAAATACCATCTCTCGTGTACAGGCGCGGTCTGCGTTTGTTTGTATTAATTTCGATGCAGGACTGGTGTACTAGTATATTCCGAGGCGAAACCATGGAATGTTGGGCGAAGTAATTCGAAATTTGCGCGTATGGGATTCCTTAATTGGACGAATCTGGCAATGGGATCCGAGTAGTTGCACGCGTTGTTTGATAACTCTCGTTAGCTTTCTGTTTTCTAATTTCGGTAATTGAACCAATCACCAACTTTTTCGTTTCGTTTCGTTTATCTCCCCGTTCGCTGATACGTTCTGTCAAAGTAAAATTTTCCACGAGTCGCGAGAAAGCAACGAGATAATTCGGTTTCCAGAAGGTAATAGCGCTTGAAATTAAATAATGAAAGAAAAAAAAAAAAAAACACGTCGAGATTATGAAAACGAAACGAAATTATTCGAATGAGTTTAGTTCTGTTATATTCGTGAAGAGACATCAATCTCATTGTATGTTGGAAGAGTGGAAGCTAAAATTCGAATTTTTGTCACTTGAATTTGAATATTACGTTACGTTACACAAACAGTGATAATTTTTTCTCAATTTTAACGTACGAAACACGTTTTGACGTAGATAATAAATCTTGATTCTCGCTCAGTAAGGAGTTAATACTAAATATCACAATCTACTAAAATCTTTGAAAAATCTTTAGACAGATTGATCTGGAAAAGGAATGTGAAGTTATATATTTTGACAGAAATCGAAGTACCATCTCTCGTGTCTATGAAAATCAACTGGATGAATCTTCGAAACGCAGAGTCGATCAATTTTGTCTCTTCAAACGTTTCAAACGTACAATTCCTATTCCACTTTTATACAGACTGATTCGTGGAACAGCCGGATGAATTTGAGATTTCACGCGACGACGAAAACTCGAGTGAACTATCGCGGAAACGAGAGTGGCGATCGATAAAATAATTAGAGTTCGAAATTTTCGTCGACCATAATTAAGGCAAAGGAGATTCGTTAAAGAGAGGATCAAACACTTGGACGATCATCGCGCTTCGCTTCTTTTCCTTCGTTCAATCTCATTTGCATCGGTGAAAGTGTCTTTCAACTGCTTGAAAGCGCCTTGTAGCTTAATCGTTCGGACAAGCGGCGAAAGAAAATTCGTGCCTGAAGAAAAAAAAAAAAAAAAAAAAATTGCCTTTACGCGTCTTCTGAAAGTTATTTCCTTTTTGTACGCGTGGAAGATGTTCCTCCTCGTCGTGTTGCCTCTTTGTCCCGAACGCGAGAGAGGAAACAACGTTCAACTTTGAAACTCAACGCGCTTTCGACGAGGAGACGCGCGCAACAATGAGATTTGTCTTTTTAGAGCCTATCAGAGGAACGTTCTCGAACAAGAAACGGATAGCGTCTCCTAAATCATTCAGAGTATCGTGCGTAGGGAACGACGAAAGTGGTTTAAAACATTTATGAAAGATACGTTGTCCCCGATGAGAAAACCGAGCCAGCGATATTTCTCGGACGTGGTACGCGTACGAATCGTTTCATTTCTCTTTAATCCGTTTCCGATCTTTTCCTCGATCTTTTAAGAACGTTCTTACGCTTTACCCACCGTTATTAGCGAAATGAATTGTTTTTCTAATTGCTTGTCTGTCAATCGGTCCATTTTTGTGGGCCGAATTGATTCAACAAACAAAGTTTATTTATTTATTTGGACAATATCTCGGTATTGCGCGTCGTTACATTATTACTCGGGAATGAAACATCTCGCGAAAGGTGATTTTAACGCGACGAATCCTCACAAAATTCCACAAATAACGAATGGAACAGCAATTTATTTCGTGTAACACACCGAGCATACCTTTCTCTCGTTCATTTCATCGAAATGATATCGAACAAAGTAATTCAAATATACGTATAAATCGGCAGATTGCATCGTCATAAAGCACCGAATATTCCATTTGTCAGTTTGCCGTTAATTCGTACGTTTCGAAGAGATTTGCTATCGTCGTTGTGTCGTTGCAAATTGATCGAAGTGTCTGGGAAAACGTAGCAACAGCGAATAGCGCGTCGTTGCCATGATAACGAGCTGTAAGTTGTAAACTCGTCCAATTGACCCGCTGCCTCTGTTACACTTGGATGTAACGGAGTCTTGTTGAAAATTGATTTATGTTGCCGCGGAGTTTACGCGAATTTCCGTGAAACAAGTTTGTCGCAAGTTCGCGGCTGTCTGACAAAATGGAGATCGCGATCCAATCGAAACGGATCCCCGGCTTGGAATTCCGCGCAAGAATCTGACACTCGCTGAACTAGCAGCTTCCTCGCGTACAAAACGCTGCAAAGACACTGTTATTGAGCATTTTTCTTCTTGCAATCACTGTTGTTATACAGTATTTTGAAATATTTAATAATAATAAATAATTAATATTCAATTATAAATATTTTGTAATTATTATAAAATTATAATTTAATTTAATTTAATTTAAAATATAATTATTATATAATTATATTTTATAATTATTTGAAATATTTAATAATAATAAATAATTAATATTTAATAATTATAAATATTTTATTATTAAATATTTATAACAATTATAAATAATAATATAATTATAAATAAAAATATATTTTACAATAATTATAAAATATAATTATGAATACTTTATAATAATTATAAAATATAATTATAAATATTTTATAATGATTATTATAAAATATTTCGAAATCTCAATATTGCAACGAGATACGAGAACTATATTAATCTGAAGATGTATCATTAAAGTTGCAAAATATTTATTTATATGCATATTTACTAAGAAAATAGTGTCAATTTGTTAAGAAAATATTACCAAATTGACGAATGTAGGTGAAAGTAATTTTGGTTTGTTTCAAACACGATCGATATATAATCATATCCCATTGTATCGCTAATGAAACTTCCTAATGTTATATATATATATATATATATATATATATGACACGCATAATGTATTCATAAAATATTCTCATAAGTGTGCCACTGTTCATTTGAATGAACCACGACAAACAATAAAAACGTTATACTTTTACATTAGTTTCGGCTCACATTTCACGTGGTTGTACTGATATTCAAAAACGAGCACCTGTTGTCCGCCGTTTCGACATGTGAAGTAACGTAATCGCTGTATAATATCGCCTAATTAAGGG